GTACTTGTTGGCTCTGATCTAGTATTTCAGTAGTGCAGAGCTCTTTGGTGCTGGGCTTGTCCTTTCTGGAACCTTGAGTGCCTCTTCAAATAGAGCCTGTGAAAGGCAGTAGTATAAAGCTCGTAGCGCTGCCGCTCCAGCCCGTCAGACTTACTGGGGCAGTGAGTTGGGAGAGCATGATGGAAAACATCTTCACAAAGAACTACTGAGTTGAGGGCTTTTTATCCTATGATAGAATCCTGCTGTCTTGGCCATTCAGAGTTCTTTGTGGGTTGTTTCCTGGAATATGAGCATAATTATCAGTCTGTTCCTGAAAATACTGTTGACAGTAAATATGCAGCAAGATACTCACTTTGCCCATGTCCGTTTGGTCCTCCCTGTCTATCCAGTTCTGCTTTCAGAGAGTGAATTTCTTAAGTGGTTCCTTAGTAGTCCTAAAGCTACTAAATCAGATGTAAGTTGTATTGAAAATGTTCCATCTTTATGTAAAAATATAGTTTTAGCTATGAATTTTTAATTGTTTTGGTGTGGGGTTTTTTTCTAAGAAACTTCTGCTTTTCCAGCTTTTACAGTGAAGCTTTCTATTCTTGCAGGTCCCAAAGGGAACTGCAATTATTCAGGATCTAATATTGTTCAATTATTGAAGATCTAACATTGTTTTGTTGACAAGAGATGGAACTATCTTGCCAGCAGTTAGAAGATTTATACTGGAACTAAATTGAACAGAGGCGCCATGCAGATGTATTATTGGAAAGCTCATCAGTCAGTAGATGAAATGCTGAACAAATTCTCATGCAGGCTGTAATTGTTAGTGGTAGAAGCACAGAGGAAGTTGCAAATTTTGTTATGGATACCAAACACTGATTTAAGACAACTTCAGAGTATTCTCAAAGGACTACTTCCTTTTGAAAACAATTCCAGAAAGTTACTAACAGTGTTTTAAATGAGAGTAAAGATAAATATATACTAAGCATCTGGAAAGCAAAGTGTTTACTCTTTAATAGGGATGATCTTGCTAATAAAATATGCATCTGAGTAGTTGTACAGACACAAGCACTATGGTGTTGAGTAGATACCGAGTTTTGCTGAACTAACAGAGAGGGACACCAGGCAATTCTTAAGAAAGGTTGCAAAAATGATTTTACTTTACTCTGCAGGTACCTAAGCCATGGGCATCTTATATGTAAAAGGATTTGTGACACTTGATCAGCAGCAGTAAGATACACAAACAATGACAGGAGCCTAACAAAAGCTGTGAAATTACAGAATGTTCATATTTTAGTAAACCCGAGAATTCCAGATTTATCAAATTGAATCACAGCTGCTAATGTTGCATTAGGTTGGTCCAACCAGTTATACAGTTATCTTCAGAGCTGCCACATTGGCTGTCTTGAAAATGTCATACAAGTATTTAATAGGACTTCTCTTCATCAGATTTGCTGGTTTGAGAGCCAGTGAATGGGGCTGGGGAGGTCAGGAACAAAGCTTTTCTAGTTTTGTCACATTTGCGGCACATTTTGAATTTATAAGAAAAAGGTAAAGTACTGACCGGCTGGTTGTGACAAAAATAATGGCTTTAAAATAGAACTAGAGCTGCCTATTTTAGCTTAGTTATTTCTCCAGATTACTTTAAGCATTTGATTGCTTTCCATTCACTTGTTACTAGAAGTTCATTTCCACAGATACATAACAGAGACTCAGACAGTCCATCCCCGCTAATCCTTCCGTCCTTCAGAGCAGCTGTGCTCAATTCAGGGAACATGGAAGCTGTGGAATACTTTCCCAGTGATGGTCCCATTTGAGCTGTTTTCAGTAATTAGTACTAGCTCTAAAGGGCATTGCAGAGGTCAGTGATAAATTCCTCACTTCTGGTTTCAGAGCTTTTACTGTAACTCAGCTCAGTGTTATGGAAAAGCAGCTGGTAACAGTATTTCTGCATTAATTACATTTTAGAGTACTTAATTGTAGCCGAGGACAAGCATGTGTAATCAGTCTTTTTCCCATGCTCACAGCCTCTCCCTCTTGCCAATGAGCTCCACTTTTGTGAGCCTGCTGTGACTTCAGTCCAGATGTTTCTGTGCCAAGAATTTGAAAATCAGTAACATTGCAAATCCAGATTTAGTCAAAAGAAAAGATAGAGACGTGGAACAGCATATTAAAGGCTCCTTAATTAAAATATTTTTTTCTTCTGTGAGGACTTCAAGTTCTGGTAGGATGGAAATGACTAAAAAGAATCCTGTGGAGTTTCTTGTGTCAGAGCAAGGATGGGAAGTCTGTGAGAAGAAGCTGCAAAACCTCTCTGGGCTGCTTGTTGCTGCAGAGCCTGTAAGATGCCTTGCAGTCAGACACTAGTATGGAAGGCTGTCAGCCTACTGAAAATGAGCTTGATGGGCTTGCTTTGGCCTGAAGTTGCAAATAATGATCCATGTACACCTTCAGTCGGCTCTCAGGTAGGCCTAAAAGCAGAGAGATTGAAGGCATGTCCTTTTGAAATAGTCCTAGAAGCACACCTTCCATACCTTACACAGAGATGCTGACATCTCAAAGTGGTGTATGTGTGCACTGCTACATGTAGAAGAATCTCATTTATAAATTTTGATGGTGTGCTTTTTTTACTGTTTTTTTTTAAATCTAGGAGCTTCATTTTAATACCTTTACCCTCAAAGTGCTGCAGCTGTTAACATCCTCTGTCGTTTAGCCACAAGTAGTGACCTATTGGTGTGAGGAATTTTACTGTTACTAGATTGATTTCTTGTGTTCAGCATTTTTCAATCTTTTTTTTTTAATGTTCTGATGAGACGAGAAGGTAGGATACTGAGAAATTAATTCAGGGATCTCTACATGTCTGAAATTAAATCTGCCACTCAAAAATAGAGTAGAAGGGAAATATTCGTATTTGGAGCACTGTAAGTCATTTTTGCTCACCAATACTTTAAATAAGATATTTTTGTAGTATTACCAGTTCTAAGATATCCAGCATGATATCCATCTTTAATCAGCTGGTGCCAATTGCTTGACAGTGTGGGATAAATCAAATTACTTAGTCTTGTGTATAATAGACTGATGTCCCCACTGCTGTAAGAGCTTCTTTATTGTAGTCAGCACTGGGAAGTGTGCTGATGGAGCTGCCCCTTGGCTGATGGGACAGGCTTGTGCCTCTGGGGCTGCCTGCTCTGTGCTTAGGCTGCAAGCAGAGAGCTTCAGTTTAGCAGCAAATTAGTGCACTTCTAAAACTTGTGAAGGAGGAAAGGAGTATGTGAGGGGCTTTGAAGGGAACTCTTACACTAGAAAGAGAATAATTATGTATCATGGGAAATCCTGTAATCCTTATCTTCCTACTAGAAGATAAGGTGGGCAGCTAGGTGGGATTTTACTGTTCAGTTTCCACAGATACTACAACGCTGGCATCTGCCCAGCATGGTCCCCTGGATCAGTTTGCTACTGCAGTTCACCACGAGGCCACACAAACACTCATATGAACACAGCTGGTACCTGGGCAGCTTGTGGCCCATGAGGAAATAGGGGCAGTGGCCCAACACTAAAGCCCTTTTTGGCTACCCACACTCTCTCTTGATTGCATATCAAGCCGTGGTCTAATATCCTAAATGGAACCCAGGGCAAAGAAGGGGCCCTGCTGACACAGCCATTTGGTGCTCCAGGAGCTCGCTGTGATTGTGTTGGTCTGCTGCTCAGCTGTACCTTTTAAAAGTATGTTGTGACAAATGCAACCACTTCTGATCTGTGGATGAATAGAATCTTATTATCTGTTAACAGCAGGACATCTGCTGGGGCTTAAAAACACCGTCACACATGCTGGTATACTTGGTCAGAAGCTGCCTGGGGTCCAGTGTAGTCCCTCCAGAGCCGGCCATAGATCAGTGGTAGATTTCCTCTGGAAATTGAGTCCTACCAGTGCTGCTTGTACTGGAACTCTCTGATGTAGCTTTGTGTGCATTTACTAGGAATTGGGTCTTACGCTTGTTAACAGATATGCTATTGTATCCATATTAAAATGTACAGAGATCTGTTCTAAGCTTTATAGCTGATCACCTTCATACATTTGGGCCGCCTTGGGGTGGAACAATACTGACATTCAGTGGTTGATTATACTTGCCACCGTTGTGTGACTGTCCAGGAGATTTTGGAGGGGTTTAGTGTGCAATGCTGGCTAAATTCAGAACATGTTTAGTTGAACTGGATTAAAGCAATTGTGTCAAGGCTCCTTTATAAAAACGCTGTGCTCACAGTATTAAAATTGTCTGGGTTTTTTTACAAACTAAATTAGAGATTAATTTGGTCCAGAAGAGAGACAACAGAAACATGCAATAACACTTTTTAGCTTTGTTTCCTTTCCCACTCTTAAGCAAATTGGCAATCACACTTTCTAAAAGAACTTCTCCTTATATACTGTATTGGCTGAGTTGGATTTTTCTGTCCACACTTTGACTGTTGGTCTTCTGTCTTCTGTCTGCCATGAGAGACAGTGTGCTCCTAGCAGGAGGTATCTAAGACCTGGCAAGGCCCCAGTGAAGATGAGCACATTGCTGTCATGCATGTGAAGGAGCAGCTGGAGTTTTGAATTTGAAAAGCTGGATCTTGGCTCCCTTCCCACGTCTGCTGACTTAGGTGGAGGGAAAGAGCATATTGATGACCTTCTTGAGCTGTCCTTCTTCACCATCTTTGGTGAGCTTTGGAAGACATACTTTAGTTTCATCAAAATCTTCAGGGCCAGACCATTTTTCATTGTTACAAGTGTGTTGGGTGAGTCGAGTACTCCGGGCAGTTCAGATTCAGAAGAGAAATGCTTATTCCAGTATTTTGGAATGAGACTTGGTCATACAATGTTTGGACTCCTTAAAATCTCTGTGGGACTGGGCCATTTACATTAGATGCTTCCATGCCATCTTCACATTAGTGTGCCAGAGTCAACATTAGCAAAGGAGCAAATTTTATTTGCATTTTAGGCATGATCCCAGCCAAACATTGTAAGATTAGTAAAAACTATGATGGTTTTTGGTAGATGTGTTTTGCTTCTCTTGGACATGCTGTGTTGATGGTGGTCTTCCTCTTTCAAGGTGTGGATGCCCAGTAACTGTTTGGTCTCTTTCCAGTCATGTTTGAATTCCTCCAAAGACTAAATTTCAATTCAGGATATCTCCCTTGCTATCATCTGCCCATTTCCACCACCTGCCCTGTGTCAGCCCAGCGGAGCTCTCTGGCAATGTAATAACTTGCATTAAGAAGCTGATCTGACCCGAAACTTCTTTTGCTGGACAATTTATGACTGGACTTTCTTGTACTTTCCTAATGTAGGTAATTGCAGAGCCACAGATCAATACCTGAAGGGCAAAAGGGATGAACAGCCAGTGGCAGGGGCAGCTTCTTCAACTACAGAATGAATTTGTGCACGATATAAGTACCAGATTAACTTCATCTTAGATGCCAGTGCTTGGGTTACAATTCAGTTTGTTTTCCAAGCCCATGTTTAAACTTGGAACTTTTTTTTGTCAGAGAATCATTATGTTGCAGGGCAGCCAGAGCATTGTGTCTGTCTCATGTAAAGGCTAAAGAGATAAACTGAAGTCTGCTAGCATTTGTCTCTTCTGTAGATGTGGAGATAATAGGCTGTTCTCTTCATTTGTACCAACAACTTTAGTTCACTTACTGTCTCACTGAAAGTTGAGAAATAAGCTGGGAATTAGTTTTTTTAAAAAGGCAGATAAGCTTCTTGCCCCATGAATAAAATGAAGGATCAGTGGCTGAGGCATGTTATTTGTAAATGTTTAAAGATGTAAGAAAAAATAGTTACATTCCTTATCTGCAGTTCATACTCCTCTTTTTCATGAGTGAGTTTTTAAGTGAAAAATGTTTTCTGTAAACATATTTCATGTGTGCCAAGCACGTTTGAAGCAATTTTATTCATTAAATCAGATTTAAATGCCTAGTTCTGTGTACTTTTAATGAATTCTGACCCTTTATCCAAGTGCAGCTTGGCATAGATCATAAGCCTAATCAGCCAACAAATAAAAACCACTTTTGTAGTTCAGTAGCTGAAAGCTGACAAGCTAAAGAACTGTATCTTTAAGACAGTGCAGTTCTGAGTTGTGTGTGACTGTCAGACAAAGTCCTCTGCCATAGGAAACTATGTACAAGTTACCCTTACATGTCATGTTTAAGTGAGTGCCAACTCACGAGAGTCAGCTTTTCTTTAAGAAATAAATTGCAAATACCAAGCAGGGATGAAAGTGGAAATCAAGGGTGCTTGCTTCTTGCTTACATTGTGATATAAGTTACTGACTTAATCCACTGGGAAGTATTTTTTGGTGGAACAGTCCTCTAAATAAAGAAAATGCAATTTAAAGAAAAGCAGCAAAACAGATCTTTTTCCTAAATTCACAGTGCATGTTAATAAAGAATAACCATTGTAAGACAGGGAATCTGGGAGAAGGAATTATGTCAATCTGCATATCCTTTTGATTATTTTAACTTTTTCTGAATGTGTTTTCAACAGAAAATGATCCACAGCCTGTTTCTTATAAACTGTTCTGGTGATATATTCTTGGAGAAGCACTGGAAGAGCGTCGTGAGCCAGTCTGTGTGCGATTATTTCTTTGAAGCTCAGGAGAAAGCAATCGATGTTGAGAATGTGCCTCCTGTCATCTCAACTCCACATCACTACCTCATCAGCATCTACCGGGATAAAATCTTCTTTGTGTCTGTCATACAGACAGAAGTGCCACCACTCTTTGTAATTGAATTTCTGCACCGAGTAGCAGATACTTTCCAGGTCTGTCACCATTATATTTATTTTTAAATATTTTAAAATAATTTTAAAATCCAGTATCTGAAGGGAGCCTACAGGGAAGCCAGAGAGGGACTCTTCATCAGGAACTGTAGGGATTGGACAAGGAGTAATGAGTACAAACTGAAAGAGGGGAAATTTAGGTTAGATATTAGGAAAAAATTCTTTACTGTGAGGGTGGTAAAATACTGGAACAGATTGCCCAGGGAGGTTATGGTTTAAGGCTGGGTTGGATAAGGCCTTGAGTAACCTGATTTAGTGGGAGGTGTCCCTGCCAATGGCAGGGGGTGTTGAGACTACATAATCTTTAAGGTCCCTTCCAACCCTTAATATTCTATGATTCTAAAATAATTCCAGGTGTTTTTTTGTATAAACTTCTTTTAAAGAGAGATAATAAACCTTCCTGTCAGTGACTTTCCCCTCTGCAATTTCTGAGTCAAGCACAAGTTTATAGATTACAAAGGCAAGAAAGGTATAGTTTGTGTACTCACTTGATTTTATAGTTACCAGTGCACAGTCACTAAAACTCAAATCCCACTTTGTAAAAGCTGTGTTTTTTTCTGTAAGGTTTTGGACTGTTCATGTTATATGGATGGGAAGAAGGAGCATGCAGTCAGGCAGCACACAGTCTGTAGGGAGGAAAGAGCTGCAAAGCATGAGTCACTTCTCAAGCAATTTCTGTAAATAAAGGACTCTCTGTGAAGATTGAGCATTGCCAAAAGATAGTCTCTTCGTATTACTAGAGTCCTGTAACTGAAGATGTGTTAATGTTCACAAGTGGAAAGACCCTTGGGACATATATAGTAGTAAATCAGATTGCATTAATTTTGCTGTTCGTGCTATTTCCAATTAGATGATAAATGTAACCTTAAATTATGATGCCATCAGACCATAGAAGTAGCTAGTCAGTTTAGCCACTGATGCCTTCGTATGTTAGAGGGTTTCTGTAAGAAAAAAACCAAACAAACTTCCTTTTGCAAAGCATTTTAACAGGAATAAAAATCCTCTCTTGTAATCTCTGTATTTGTTTAGGATTACTTCGGCGAATGTTCTGAGACTGCAATTAAGGACAATGTGGTAATTGTGTATGAGCTTCTAGAAGAAATGCTAGACAATGGCTTTCCACTGGCAACAGAGTCTAACATACTGAAGGAGCTGATTAAGCCTCCCACAATTTTGCGCTCTGTTGTCAACTCCATCACAGGTAGGAAAATAAATAATTTTCAGCAATGACTGGCTGTATAAAAAAAAAAAAAGCCTTCCTTCCTTCCTCATAGCTAAAAAATAATGTATTGGTGTGAATCTGTAAGGTGAGGCCACTGTCCTGCCACTTTTCATAAGTAGGAGTTGAATAAAAACAACTCCCTCCATATTTGCAGTTCATGCCTGGCTGCCTTGCTATCCCTGGTGGTACTGTCTGGTCCAGCCACAGCTGCTGAAGTCCCTCAGGAATAGCAGTTCCCAGCACAGTCAGGACATACTGGAGACAGGTGCTCTGGGATTGGTACAGAGCTACCCCCAAGCCTTGAATAACTGAGGGGCATTGGAGAAGGTTAAGCATTTTATAAGAAATCATTACAGGAAGGTATATAATGGTTACCTAATAAATCTTTGATGGCTGGGAACAGATAGCATGAAGGGAAACAAGTCGCCTGTCCTCAGCCTCTGCCCCACCCCCCCCACCAGTCAGCATATGGATTCATATGGATTCGATTTCGGAGCTGATTTCAGGGTGTTATAAATGGGTCTTTCTTGTAGTGATGGAGCCAAATGTCTGTCAGCTGAGCTGGTGGAATCTGCTTGTCTGGCAAGCGAGTGCAAGGGAGGTGAGCCATGAGGTGTCACATGGGGTCAGAGCCATGGGAGGTGTTTGCCTGTACATTGTGTTGGAGGAGTAGCTGGGCTGCAGGGCCACACAGGTAGTACTCAGAGGAGCTGGTCTTTTAGGTAGTAGATATGGCTTAGTCTTTGAGTATAAATCTCATCAGTTTTAATTTGTGTCATTTGGGGTTTGGTTACAGTTTTTTAAAATGTGGATTTGGATGGTAGTATTTACACTTATGAAAAATATGACATTAATGGACTAGATGGACCACTGTAAGGGGAACTAAGACTCCTGAAGCCAAGGGTTGCAGCATCAAATCCTCTTGTTTTATCTAGAGCCTTATTAGAATTCCCTGGGAGCCTAAAGCGCCTGCCCAAGGCAGCCTGCATCTTGTCACTGTCAACAGCTCAGGGCTGAGCAGGTGGAAACAGCAGCCTGAGAACTCTCCTACCTACCTGGCCTGGCAGCTCAGCCTGTGTAGCACTGCTGCACCCTGCAAGGCTGCTGAGGGACAAACATGGCAAATGCTCCCCTATAGAGATGTGTGGGAGTGAGGAAATGGTTGCAACTCCTCCCCCCTGTGTTATAGTACATACAGGGGTGGACTTTAGGAAGGGTTTTGGTTTTTAGTTTTTCTACTAGCTCTAAAGAATGAAAACTGTTTGTTTTCTGCCCGTTAGGACAGGGCCTGCCCAGCAGGTTCTGTAGAAATGATACCCCCTGGCCACCAGCTTCTCAGTGGAGCTGTCTCACGTGGCAGGACACGCAACCCACCTGCGTTGCGCTAAAGGGCACAAGCAAGCGTGAGCTGTGGCCCTGTCCCAAGACCTACTTCTAGCAGAGGGAGTTGCTTCCACTGTGCTGGGATTCCAGGATCAGTCACCTAAGCCCCAGAAGTGATAAGATTGTGATTTTTTTACTTTTTAAAGCATCATCAGTTTAGCTCATTCATAAGTAGCTCAGGAAGCCTTTTCTCATGCTGGGTGTTACTGAGAACCAGGAGCCAAGGGTGAGAGCAAGGCAGGCAGGGGCAGTGTCATCATTGGTAAGGAGCCCAGAAGTTGAGCCAACAGGTCAAGGACAGGATCAGATGATAACAGGTCATTGCAGCTCAGTGATTGCCATCAATATCCATCAGAATGGGACAGGTCGAGCCAGAAAGTCAAGTCTATGGGCCAGGGCCTGGATAGATTTGGCACATGGTCAGGTATAGACATGGCTGTCATGTTGCTGCAAGGTAGCTCAGGGGGGTACCAAGGGTGAGAACCTCAGCCTAACAGCTCCAAGCAAAGGCTGTGGGAGCCCTCCCTAAGGCTTCTTACATGTCTTTCTTCCTAATGACTCTTACCTGTAAATCAGCCCTGAAGTCAGCCAGCTAAAACTCTTAGGAGAAGGGGGAAGAGGGCTTAAGGCCCTCATAAGCAGCTGTCTTGAATTATAGTGATTAAATCCTTCACAGAATCTAGCCCCACTTCTGCTCCCACTCAAACCTCCTGCTGACTTGAGCCTTATATTTTCCTGTGCAAAATATGGTCTGAAAGCTGTTAAGTCTGGTTGAAGTGCCTTCACGTCACCTCACATTTTAGTGCTCCATGTTCTAGTCTGCAGTTCTGGGGGGCAAACCTCGCTTTGGTTCTTAATTTTGGCGGTTGAAACGTTCCTCTTGTAATTAGTGACTGATTTTGAGTTCCTTTTCATTTTTAAGGCAGTAGTAATGTGGGAGACACACTTCCCACCGGACAGTTGTCCAACATTCCCTGGCGCAGAGCGGGGGTAAAATACACAAACAACGAAGCCTATTTTGATGTCATTGAAGAAATCGATGCAATTATAGACAAATCAGGTAAGATGCTTTGCAAACTAATTTTTATTTGTTGAATGCGTTTACATCTAGCTGCTGATGTTTAGAGAGAATACAGTCCAACCTTTCTATTTTTCTGCTTGTTTTATATCCATGAATCTATATCTTAGATAAAAATACACAATTTAAAATTATGTGCCCAAATGTATTTCTTCAGTTCATCTTAAAACATCAATATGCTCCAGACTGCTTCAAGAACATTACAAGAAATATTCTGTACTTGGATGGTTTTTGTTTTTGTATTGATTATCTCGTAACAGATATAAATGGAAAAAAAGTAGTTGAAGTTTTAAATGTGATGAGAAAATTATCTCCCATTGTTCCTGCCAACAACGTACTGCAGTCCTTGTAGGCCCTCAAATGAGCAAGACAAAAGCTTTCATTAGCTTTCTTCTGCTAGCAAGATAAACTTGGTGCAAAATAGCTGGACAGTGTTTTTTGCTTTATATATAAACTAGAGCCAGATATTATGAAGCATAATAATACTCCTTTCTTTTCTGTAAATGAAACATATCATCTTCAAATACAAAAGGTCTTTCTTCTGAGATTTAACTTTAAGGAGGAACCGGATAACTTGTGTGCCAAGAAGTACAAAAAACTGATGCAAAGAGAAGACTGTAATGCTGTCAGCAGGAACCTGCTGTTCAGTGTTGGGGCCATCAGTTAGCAATGCTGAAGACTGCAGGACACCAGTTTGTGGTGGTATGGGGCAGGGAGCAAATCCCTGTTTTCTTCATTCAGTGCTGCTGTTGTAGTAGTAGTCAATGTTGTTTTGGTTCCATACACCACTTAATGTTTTGGCCACCACTGAACTGGGTAGTCACAAATAGTTATTGTGCAGCTCTTACTCTCACCATCTTGAAGCTAAAAGAAGGTGTCCCTCACAGTCAGAACACACTGATGACTGTGTTACTCTCCCAGCTCATTAGGATTCCCAAGAGTAGCATGAGTGCTTAGTCTGAGGAGGTACAATCAAGACCATGGTGTGTTTCTGTGTGTATTCCAAGCCAAATCACTGTCCACAGTGTTTAAATTTCCTACTGAGGATCTGCTGCAGTAGTCATAGCTACTGTTTTCTGCTCTGATCCCTTGGGGACCAGCAATGCCAAAGTCTTTCTTCCTAACCTTAACTGGGACTAAGAAGTAGATAAGGTGGTTCCCCTGAATAGGGATGGTATCTTGTTTCATAGGGATATAGTTAACTGCTTTAACCTGAAACAGGATCTCTTCTATTCAAACCAAATATAAAGCCACTGTTTCTCCTTCCCCTTGACAAGATGAGCAGTAGTTTCTATCTGTCTTCTAAAATTACCTTTGCTTGTGGGGCTAATTAATTAGTCCAGAGTCCTGCTTATGCCTTTCTGTTCTTACACCGTATTTAAGGAAATGAGCATTTCCTGGGTAAGATGCTTGGTATTGTTGCTTTGGGTTTTGGGGTTTTCTTGCTATAGATCTATTTAATATCAAGACAAATATGTAATCCCACTGTTAAACAAGCCTTACTTGTGAAAGCCAAGGTTAGCTGGAGCTTTATAGCACAAACTTACTGCTTTTGGACACTGGTTGTTTTGATGTGCTTCAGCTTCCCTGCACCACAACACAATGTGCTAGTTTTCTGGAGACCAGGGACAGGGATGAAAGAAGATTCAGAGCTCTTGTGTTCTGAAATTCTTATTTACTTATTGCTGGCAACCAGTTCAAGCACATCCAGTACAAGTCCTGCGTAACAGCTGGCACAAGTATAATTAGCTGATTTGGGCCAAGCTGTTTGCTCTGGCTCATGTCTTTTAGCAAGCTGCCCAGGACACAGGTAACTGGAATGACCTTTCCTAGCTGGGCTTGGCAGGTTCTTGAGTGTTGTGCAAATGTCATCTGTGCCCTCCAGCTGCACTTCACCATGTCTGTTAGGCCCTTCCTAATAATGTTAAGTCATGTGTCTGGTTTTTCTCCTGCAGGTTCCACAGTCTTTGCAGAAATCCAAGGTGTTATTGATTCGTGTATTAAGCTCTCAGGAATGCCAGATCTTTCTCTGTCTTTCATGGTAAATTCAGCCTATATTTGGGAATGTTAATTGCTCAGGATTTATTTTTCATAATAATCAGAGTTCGACAATTTTAAGAGCACAATTGCTACTTCATGTGTTATACATGTGAAAAATAACAAGTTTTGCATTATATTGTAGAAGCTGCATTGCTCAGTAGTCGGAATGGCTTTTGTCTGTACATAAAATACACTCACAGGAGCTGCTGTTCCAGGTCAGATCAGAAATCCATCTAGCTCAGTAACGGGTCTCCGATAATGGGTAGGAAAGGTACTTAGAGTCTAAGAAATAGGAATTGTGTAGAGTTCAGTAGCTAGTTCAAACTGCTTATACTTGATGAGATTTCACTGACCATTTTTTGTTTACTTCCAGAACCCACGGCTGCTGGACGATGTCAGCTTCCATCCATGTATCCGGTTCAAACGCTGGGAGTCTGAGAGAGTCCTTTCATTTATTCCTCCCGATGGGAATTTCAGATTGATCTCCTACCGTGTCAGTTCACAGAAGTACGTTCCTTTTAGACACACGGGTTCTCCAGATACACCATCTACTGCTTTCCATCTGAGTAACTGCAGATTTCTCCTTGTTAAGGGGGGGGATTTGCATTGTTCTAAAATACACGTGCTCAGGTTTTGTCTCATCTGTTGCCCTGTCCCCACTAAAAGAAGGAAATCATTTTTCAGTGAATTGCAGATGCTCAGCAATCCTTTTTCAGTGGAATAAATCACACATGACAGTAATACAGGGCTGTTCATTCCTAGTAGTCATTGTTGGTGCTAGATGCTTTGTGGATAAGTCTCTGTGTACATAGAGGACTCTGACCTTCATGGAGAGAATGAAGCAAAAAAGTCTAAACTGCAGGTATTTGCAAACTAAAGCCTGATTTGACTGGTGGCTTTTCTGAGATTTGGCTCAGTGAGATTACTTTAAAAAAGTAAACAGATGAAGGAAGAGAGAATAGGACAAGTTATTTGGAAGAAAATAAACTTTTTTTCCTGTGATTCTCTGCTAATAAAATCACTTCAGCAATGATGCTGAAGAGTGAAGTATCACTTTTCGCTTTTGAAACAAACCGGTTCTAACTTGAATACTTGCCAGAAAAACAAGAACTATTTATGAGAAAGAACTTTTTCTTCTCAAGCAGAGAAGTAGCCAGGATGCATTCAGCTACTGTTTTCTCTTTTCAGCTTGGTGGCAATTCCTGTATATGTGAAACACATGATCAGTTTTAAGGAAAATAGTTCTTCGGGAAGATTTGATGTTACTATTGGACCAAAACAGAATATGGGGAAAACAGTAGAAGGAGTTGTCATGACAGTTCACATGCCAAAGGCTGTACTTAATATGAGCCTCACTGCTACACAAGGCAGCTATACTTTTGACCCAGTTACTAAGGTAAGTCTTAAGTTTTTATTTATTTAAAAATCGAAGATGGCATTGAACAAGTCACCCATGTTGCAGAACACTGGAGCAGTGTTCTTAGCAAAAAACTTTCTGTTCAGCATATGTTTATGAATTAAAAATTCATCTTTAAAATTTACTTTTTCAAACTTAGATACACGACAGTTGTGATTTCTGACTTTGTCAATATCCTTTTCCTTCCCTTCCTCTTTTCCCCCGCTCTTTCACCCCCCTAATATTTTTCCTTAGTGGATGCAGCAGTATTCTGTTAGTAGTTTCAGCCATGATGTATTTTGCAATCTGTGTTCTTGAAAACATACTTATCTGGAGAAAATGCAGTAGCCTTGAAAACAGGTATCCAGAAAAACAGGGAGCAGGAGATGAGAAAAAAATCTCTTCCAAAAGATGTGCCTGAAGACACACAGTAAGGAAGACAAAATGTCTGAAAAAACATATCTTGGGCTCCTGCTTTCCTGCCTCTGAATTGGAGTTTGAAACCTAAATTTCCTAAAGCTCCTGAAGCCTTTTAGTACCCAAGAGCCATTTTGCTGAAGTGCAATCTGAGCCAAACCATTCTGCTGCCTCTAAGACCCTGCTCTGAGCTTTCTGCTGCCCTCAGCAATTGATTAGAATTTTAAGTGAAAGCTCTCCAAGTAACATTCTGCTTCAAAAACAAGAGACCTTGACCTTGTTAAAAGAAAAACACCTAAAAAACCCGCTTGAAGTCTGCTTTCCTCTCTGCAGAAATACATTATACTGTGTTTTTATCAAGAGTTGGGATAACTAGGTGGATTGTTACTGCAAAAGTTTGTAGAAGTGAGGAGAACTGAGGTTTTTCTGCATTTATCAGCTTTCAGTTTATGGTAAGAGCAAACAAATCACCTCTTGTAGGTGAGTAAAGGACCCATTTGGTTCCACATTTCTCTGAAGTGTAAGAATCAATGGGGAACAAGTGATCCTTAGGAAGGTTACTCTAGCTTAGACATCTCATTTGGCCAAGTGCCTTGCTGCCACTCTCCTCATTCTCTTGTTTAAGTTCCTGTGACTTTTTGCTGATTACTGTCCTTGCTTCATGGTTCCAGCTGATCCAGACTGACATCAGGATCAATCATCATTACTCAGGGAACACGGTACACTCAGTGCACAGACCCACTAAGGAACAGGGCAAAAGAAACCCTGGGGAAAAAAAGACCCCATAGCTGCGGGAGCCCCAACCACACCCTCTCCCAGCCAGCAGGGTAATTCTCAGGGCTACCAGGCTGCTTTCTGTACCCAGCCTGCAAACTAAAAGCTGGATATGAATTTAACCTCAGAGGTTGTTTCCTAGAAAGCTACTGTTCTTTGCTTCCTGACAAGGTGTTAACGTGGGACGTGGGTAAAATTACCCCTCAGAAGCTACCAAACCTGAAAGGCTTAGTGAACCTGCAGTCTGGAGCACCCAAGCCAGAGGAGAATCCAAGTTTGAACATCCAGTTTAAGATACAACAGCTTGCAATTTCAGGTGAGTGGGTGGGTGTTACGTGAAATTGGTGCTGACAGAACAAGTAGTAGTAGGAAATGAAGTGGAAACTGTCAGTCTTTTATTTGGAGATGCTGATCTGAAGTCAGCTTGGTCCAAAATGATAAAGTCTGATTTACCCAAACTTGACAGTTACCCTTGCTGGAAGACTCCTTTGCTGGGAATTGTGAATTCCCAGCTGTTTTGCTCAAGAAAGGCTTGAGAAGTGTACAGAAAAATGGCTTTTTCATTGTTGATTGGTGCATTAAACATGCCAATGTATCCTTTTATTGAAGATCGATGGATGATGCTTTAGCATGCTGCCCTTGGCTCATTTTAGTCTTGCACCACTAAAGCCATTTCTAACGGTCATAAAACTCCATTAATTTTGAAGAATGCCCTTCTTCATTCATTCTGGAGGTGGTTAGTTTTTCATCTTTAAAACAATCTGCAAGTTAAATCAGAATGAAGCATATATGGTAAATGCAAAACTGAAATTTAAATTTAAAAATTTAAATTTAAAGCAGACAAGACCTCAGTCTGCAAACACTTAAATCATGTGAGTTGTCCATGTGTAAAATGGTTCTGCAGGCAAGCTTTGCAGGATCAAGACTCTCACAGTGTGGAGACACATTTGGAGAGGAGGAGGATGACTGAAGGACAGGTACCAGGCCATGGTCCTTTTGCTTCTTAGACTACTTTGAGTAAATAACAGTTAGTTCTTGTGTAAGAAGAGAATCCTACAGTTCACTCTTAAACTAGTTTTAGTCTAGAAAAATACAGCTGATCCAGTGGCTGGACACCAGATGTGATGGAGCTGTAAGAAAGCAGGGAACAGCAGTAGGCAGTTAATAGCTGGCCTTCCTCAGTTAATAGCACGGGGATTGCTGTTCTTTTAATTACAAATTGGAGTGAACAGAATTCTGAAACTTGTCCTTTGCTTCATGTTCATGATTGGAAATGAGTGCAGTGTACAAGGAGGAGGACAGACTCAGTTCAGTCGTTCATCTCCTGGAAGGAGGATGTTGGCTTATGGAGGAGAAGAGAAGGAAGTTGTTGCCCTGCCAAAGCAGCTGTGATTAGGTGACAAGAACGGTCTCATCTGCTATTTCAAACCAGATGAACTTGTGAAAGAAAGGAAAATCAGCTTCCTAACCCATCCTAGCGTGCTTCAAGAAAGCTGGACTTTTAAACAGACTGACATGATTCCTAGCATTCTGTTTTAACTTTGTACTTTCTTTGGCTTTTTTCCAGGACTGAAAGTGAATCGCCTAGACATGTATGGAGAAAAATACAAGCCTTTTAAAGGTGTCAAATATATTACAAAAGCAGGAAAATTCCAAGTCAGGACATGAGAAGATGATCTAAGAGGAAATTCCCCTTAAAAAAACTTGACTGCTTAGTGACTTATGTTGCTATTAATTAGGTGCCAATTAATTAATAGACACTGATTAGTTTGGGATCAAAGCACTTGTGCACAGCAGCTCTTAAAATGAAAGCATAGCTTAGTTTTTCTTAATATGGCTTTAAAATAAGGTACTTTTTTTCTAATACACTTTCACTCTTTTTTTACTGATTTGTTGTGCTGGTGAATAGTTTGATATAGGCAACCCACAAAATGTCACAAACCCTACACTGCCAGTCAGATACCAAAGCCCAGAGGTCAAGCACATTATGAAGGCCAGACAGGCCACTGCAAAAGTCTGGTGGCATGTTTTGCTGCTTCAGCCACCTGCAAAGAAAGCTCAGTGACTCTCCCAGCCAGCTGCAAGCTGGCATTCCACAAAGGAGCCTGTAATCCCTTCAGAAATAGAGAGCCAGCAGTGAGAGGGGCAGGGGACCCCAGGGGCCTGGGACATAGCAAATGTCACTCCTGAGAAAGCTTCTGATGAGGTAAAAAATAATTTCTGTGTTGTTTACAAGAAATTGCCTTTCTTAAGAAGCATTTGCCTTAATCAGCTTTCATTTCTGCCATCTGCAGATGAGCTGATAAAAATAACATCCTGCATTAAATCTGGGAGGTGATTGTTGCTTCAGTAATCCACTTTCTTTCCATTCAATCTCATCATCTCCGTAATTTTTTTTAAGAATACAAGTGCAGAGAGTAAGATCTATTTTTTATGTGAAGCCTTTGCTTTGACTTAGATGTTCCACTTGTTTGAAGTGGATGCCACCAGATCTGTGCGGTGTGTACCTTGGAGCGTAGCTTTTTAGACAGCACAATAGAAGTGTCAAGTGTATTTAATGGTTGTGTGCTTTAATGTTATGAAATAAAGGGAACTCTACTGCAAATGTGTCTCATCTTGTGAAATATTCATGCTGAGGTAAATGGTTCACAATGCTCTTAGGCAGGAGGCATCTGATACACAATTAAATAATGACTATTTGCTGGATCTTTACTGACCTTGATCACTGTGCAGCTACTTAGAGTCTATAAAAGGCTATTTAGGAGCATGGCAGGTAAGGTCCCTTTTGTATTTTTTATTTTTAAATGGAGGACAGCTATTTGTTCATGACATTTCAAAGACTCAACAGTGAGGATGCAAAGCTGACTGAGCTTCTCATTAGACACCAACAGAAGCTTGTTATCACTTTAAACCAAAACAAGCTCCACAGTACCCATCAGGTTCCAAACCATGCATTTGGTCAGTACACAGGGGGCTGAATTCAGAATTAAAGAAAGATGGCATACTGGAGAGCCTTTGTTTCCCTGACCTGTTTGGCTCAGAAATTGATGAATAGGTGCTAACTTTGCTTCAGATGAAGAGCAGGAGCTAAAGTGATTCACTAGTCAAAATTTCGAATACTGGGACAAAAAATGATCAGCCTGGGAAACGGAGGGGAAACCCATCTGAACACTGGCAGCAAGTCAGTAAGAAATCAGCATCATAGCATTAGGGTAAACTTGGCCATAAACAACCATTCTGAATTTCTGAAATTACAGTAGATAAAACAGCACTATGAAGAACCAGCACTTCCAATAAGAAAGCCTTGCATTTTTGTAGACACAACACTGGTTATTAAAAGCTACCAACCTTCTAGTCTGCCTTTTTTCAACTGGAGAAACATCCATGAATTCATTACTCATCCTACAGTTCTGCTCCGCGTTTCAGCAAATCATATCCTTCAGTTACTGTAACTGTACAAGAAATCTTGTCTTCAGAGGTAACTGGTAATGTCCCAGGCTGAACTTTGAGTACCTGGAGCTGCTCCTCTGCATTAGCAGCCTGGAAACACTTGCACCATCTCCTTTGGGAACTGATCCCTTGCTGGTAAAGAACATAAGGTGGTATCAGGACTGGCGAGCCTGGACACCAGCTCTGCCCTCCAGCAGGGTACAGAACAAGCCTTGCCAGCCACTGTAACTCGGGCCCCAGGGAAGCACACACAGGAGCTGCTGTCTGTGGGAAGGCTCTGATCCAGACTTCCGAGCTCACCTCCAGACCTCGTGTCAACAAGAATTGTACTCATCTGGGAGGAAAGCAGCCTGAGCACAGATGTATTTTGTCAGAGAAATAGCGTCTGTTGTGTGAGGCTGATTCCTTTTGCTGAAGGTGCGCTACTTCCTGCCCCTTTCTCCAAACACAGGAAGCTCAGCTGCAGACTCTGCACAAGGGCAACTGTGTTCCTGTTCTCCTGTTAAAAAAAAACTGCACCAGCACCTGTATCAAGAGTACAGCTTAGGGAATCAGAGTATGTCATTAGTCAGGAATTATACTGCCAAGTTTTGATCTCCCCTTCTCTAGATGTGCAGCACTGGGAATGCTGACAAAGGTGGCTGTCTGTCAGGTTCTCATCTTCCCTCCGATATGGAGAGAACTGTATGAACAGTATAAAACTCTGAATTTTACCTATTATTACTAAATCCCAGCTGCCTCCTGGCACTACGGGGGTACATTTGGTCCTACAGCACCAATAAACATTGGTTCCACAAAGTCAAAACATTATGTGTGCTGGTAGAAATTTTTAGCAAGAGAAAGTGTTTGAGAAGTTCCTCTGGTGAAGGACTGAAGGAAATAGGACAGTGGTTCCATGCTAATCACCCTTGCATTCAGTTGGAGAAGTAAAATTCAGATTAACAAGATGCTGAGCAGAACAGCAGTTCTTCCCTTACTGGCAGGATCAGGCAAACCCCGTTTCAAGGTTTCAGAACCTTGTTTGGGTCTCATAGAACAGATGACTGTCAGGCCTTGGAAAAACTCCTGTTTTCTCCCACTGAACACAGCTTCCAGTAAGGTCTTTTAATTACAAGTTTGACAGGCACAAAGGACAGAAAAAACTTCATTTAATCTTCTCCTGTTTGAGAAACTTTGCACTTTTTTTCTGTTCAGAAGATGGAGAAACAAATGTTCTTTTGCTTTAGTATTTCTGCTGCTTTAGTTTTTTGCTGCTCTTCTTATTACAGCATTATCCACTGCTCCATTAATCATTAACACTCACAAGCTGATATTTGTACAAATGCATTTTTATTGTTTTAACAGAACCAAAGAAATGTTGAAAACATTAGACTATACAATACATTTTGGTTTATAAACAAAGTTTTATAGTGGTAAAACATTTCCAAGTGACATTCATGGTCTTGTTCAAATTTCTGCTGCACTTTGGGTCTGCAGACCAATAGTTTTCAAAAATGCAGTAATTGCATAAGGTGGACAAGTATCTCAGCTTCTACAAAACAGTTCGAGAACTTGGAGCAAACATTCTAGAAGAATATCAAAGGCAACCATGATTCATAACTCTCCTGCAAACATTCATCAATAAACAAAAAGTGATCTTTGGCATAAACAATTATGTATTAAAGGCATTAGTAATATTGCATTAATATCAGTCAAGCAACTAAACAGTGATGCTAAAATAAAAAAATCTCACAGACAAGCCTGAATTGGGACAGGGGGATGTGAGAAGCATTGAGAAGCAATACAGGAAGACTATTTAGAAAATCCCTTTAAAATAATCCCTACTTACTCAGTGTTATTTACTATTAAATAGAAATTACTACATTAAAATTATGTTAAAGATCTGGTATAAACCAACCAAATGCATCCAGGTTAAGGCTCTGGCACCCCTTCCCTCCTCTTCCCATTGCAGGTAACTGCAGGAAGAGAATACTAAGGAAAGATCCTAAGTACCACATATTTCATAATACCCAGACACAAGGAGCAAATTAAAGACGAACATGTGCCTTCTCTTGCTGAGGTCACTTTGAGGCAGATGTACTATCAACAGTTTAACTTCCCTTTTTAGATAACAGTGCAATGAAAGGGGGTGGAGGGGAGAAAATCTAAGTGTAGAATAACTGTTGCAGAGAGGTAAAGGACAGTTGACTGTGCTGTGTCTCTTCCTCTGGACTGTTAAGACTGAGCAGTTTTTCCACAAGGACACTTCTATTCAAGGGGGTTTGATCATGCAACAATTTGCAGCAAATTGAAAGGGTATTATGATGTCAGTGCTGATTTAGGCAGAAGTCTGCAAGTATTCCTTGCAAGTGTAAAAACTCAAACAAGTTTTCCTTTCTGTCAAATGCCAAAAGAGACTACAAGGCAATTAAGTGAATGTGTATGCATACATATATATATATATATATATATATGAAGGCATGTTAAATTATGGAAGGATAAAAGCATCACAAGTCTATTTTAGTGGGGGGGAATTTGGGGGTTTTATTCTTGTCATTTTGTTTGGGATTTTTTTAAAAGACGCAGTAGCACTTTGTTCAATTCACTATTACTAGAACTTTAAAAAAGATTTTCAGCCTCCAAACTCCAAAAGCAGTAAAAATAATGAGGTATGTGTAGCATTAGGAACCACCATTTGCTGGGACCATCAGACTACCTAAATAGGGTTTCGTGGACCCTGCAGAGCTCAGGATTCAAAAAGCTTATGCATTGCTGGAAACAAGGGCAGTGAGGCTAAAGGTCTTGTTTAATTGAGTATCTTTATCTTTTAATTTCCACCTTGAGCAGCTGGAATAACATCAGATGGAGAGAATAGGGAAATAAGAATAATTGCATGTGCTCATTTGGTTTTCAAAAGAAAGAGCCAGCATGTGGCATTTTCTGGTCCTGGACATGCAGTCAGCTTAAGAGAACCAGGATGTTTCAGCTCAATATATTGCTGAATTGAGCAAGGAAAGAGTCCCATGATTTAAGGTCTCCAGCCTTAAGGCTTCAAGGTGTCAACAGTGTGCCACTAACATCCTCTGCAAAACATTTCAGTACAGTATGAGAGTTCTGGAATGCCTACCTACAGGGTGACAGAGACAGCTCCAGTTTGTGTTAAAGTACTGTTGCCAGACAAAAATCAAAAGCAAAAAAAAAGCAATATCAGTTCAGACATGGAATTTTAATCCTCAGTTTACAACTGTTCTGCTGCCCCACCTCCCCTCTTTTAATTAAAAGCCCCACACCATTTCTGCAAGGTTTTAGAACAGCCAGCTAAAATCCTGTTGGAAAGTTGAATGTTTCTATATCAATGATTTGTCCCTAAAAAACTGCCAAGTAACCAACAGTGTCCTAAACTCTCAAGGCAAGCTAAAGTGAGGTCCATGTTTTATATCATCACATGGGAACTACTGGAATATATAGTGCATAACTGAAATGTGCTTCTGGGAGTACAGAATTCACTAAGAGAACCTTGAAAAGCAAAACAAAAAATTTAAATGATAAGAACTGTCTACTGTTGACAGCAAATTTGAGGTGTTTGATATCAAATGTGTTCCAAAGACATTTGAAATGCATTATCTTATAATTCATACCCTTAGAATGGGGCATTAGCATAAGCTAATCTTAAGCTCATGTATACAGCACCTTTTGCTGTTCATATATCTCTTCTGTTTCCAAAAAAAAGGCATTTTATGTTACAGAAAACAATACTTATGTGGCAAGTGTTTACTGATACCATGGGGTTTTTCTGACCCAGCGAAGAGTGAACCCAGCATCTGTTCTTATCTTAATGGATGCTGCTTCAGCTTCTCTCACAGTTTCCTTCACAGACTGCATGAGATTCTGGGCATTATGAACCAACATCTCAGTTGCCTGTCAAGAAAAAGAAGAATTTCCAATATATCAGTAAATACCACGATTAGGACAGTAGTATGGAAACCCTTTGTGCACAAAGACTCTTAGCACAAACATCTTATTTCAGGTAATTGCTGACTTAAACTATGAAACAGTAAGTGAAGCAACTAGTCTATGGAAACCAGCAAGTGTTATCCCCACTCAAAACAAGGCTTTCCCATTCTTTGCTGTATATTTGTGCAAAATTTGAATTAAAAAAGAAGTTTAGCGTCACTA